CCATTCTGACATGCTTCGCAATTCCCCTTCAGGAATTTGACATCTGTTATACTGAGGCTAATTCTTTATGTTGAAGCTATGACTGTTATACTCACTGATTCATTCAAGAACTGCATTGAAAAAATAGCAGGAAACTCACAGAATAACTAGTGTTACACCGGTGCACATCAGGTTACAGAGTAGGTTTATGTTGTAGGGTTTCACGGGGATTTGTGGTTACGTACCTATGCTGAAGATTCAGCAAAGAGTAAAAATCAACTGTGATCATATCAACTGATCCCTGAAGCTTTTTTACTGGTTCATGAAAAGCCAGTTACCATTTACCATTAATAATTAACAAGAACTTTTTTAAAAACATGAAACATCTACTGTAGCTAAGGAAACTGAATGTTTTTTAGAGAAGAAAGTTTTGCTAAACAAAGTGTGCATTATTCTGTTGACTAAAGTTTTGATTTTGTCACCACTGTGTGTCAGTTTTTTCCACGGCCAGATGTGTTAACATCTGTGGGATCTTTGCCAGGATGTTCACTTTATTGTAACTTTGTTGCCTCTTCTTTCTTGGTCAGAAAGTCTTCACTTTTTCAGAGTGGTCTTGTACACTCACCATGCACTTCATTGAGTACAGCTGATCTATTAGCTGATCACAAAGCAGCAACTCAGGGCATTTAGGCAAGCAGACAAAGGTGATTTAAGTGACTTTGACTATGACATGTTGTTGGTGCCAAATGGGCTGGTCTGAGCTCCCCAGAGTTCAGAGAAAAAGGTCTTAAAAAGAGAAAATATGTAGTGAGGGGTAGTTCTCTGGGTGAAAATGCCTTGTTGATGCCAGAGGTCGGAGAAGAATGGCCAGACTGCTTTGTTCTGACAGGAAGGCTACAGATATTGGGCAATAGAAGATTAGTAAAACATTGCCTGGTCTGATGAGTCTTGAATTCTGTTGTGACGCTGGGATAGTGGTACCAAAATTTACCATAAGTAACATGAAACCTTGTAACAACAAATTTACCGGCAGCTTTTGTTGGGGGTGAACATGAGCAGGGAGTCTAATACCTGCAAATCTTCAGTAGGTTGTTTTCTTTTAAGTATGTTTAATTTTAATATTTTATTGCCCTGAGCCTGAAAAAGTAAAATTAAACATTTGGCTAAATCACAATTGTCACATAATCACATTATTTATTCGTGCCTCTTTTACATTTTAAATAAATAGAGCTAAGTAAAGAAAATTGCAGTGCATGCAATCTACCTAGCAGGGTGAAGCACAAAAAGGGAATCTTCTTTGTCTTGTATATAATATCAACGTTTTTTCATGAAATAAAAAGCATAGATTGAAAATTGAAAAACTGGTGCTCCTTTAAGGCTTAATTTTGAGTTTAATTTTGCATAGCACAACCAGAAATTGCTCTGTTTGCAGACACTTGTTTACAACTGAAGCCCACCAAGCTTTTCCACTTTCCCACCTCTCATTTTGTTTATCTGTCCTGTGCAGGTATTTAAACCACTGTAAGCATTTTGTCTGTCACGGTGGCTACAAAAGCCTCAGGCAGCATAAGCAGCTTAAGCTTTCTTGTTGTGGATTCCTGTCTGTGTTATTTTAGCAATAAGTTGTTCTGAATAGTATACCAAAGCAACATAACAGACATGACAATGCTATAAACAGATGTTTAAAGGTGGTGCGTGTCAAAAAAATAGTAGGAAAACAGGAAATGTTTACAAGCACTTAGACATATAACACGCATGTTTGTATTGAGTTTACATTCACTGATTAAAATTTGTGCTTCTCTGACTCTTGGGAAATTTATATGGCTGCCCAGTCTCCCTGGTGTTGTATAAACAATTCCTAATCACACAGTGGTGTGTATCATTTGACTTGAAGTGTGTGTGTTATGCAGTGGTGTATGTGTATAGGGCATTAGCTGTGTGCGCTGTCATTTGTGCACCATTAACACCATGCTGGGGCCTCCTTTTCGCACTCTCGGCTGTTCAAACATGCCGGAGGAGATTCGGTATTAAATGAGATGTGGCGCGGCTGTATTAGCCACTACCTCAGACAACGACTGTCACTTCAGGATGTTTTCAGGCTGTGAGGGTGGTGGGAAAGAAGCGGCAGTACTAGCTTCTTCTGACTGAAACCTGGGAACACAGGCTGCAGATCCTGAAGGTTGAGTATGCATGGACTGATGTTAATGCACACTTACAGGGCTGGCCACAGATCCTTGAAGGTCTAACAGTAGCAGGTGGAAACCACGGGATTCGCTAATGGGACGGTCTTGATGGATCTCTTGTCTGACAGCCTGCAGTGTTCTCCTAAGTCAGAGGCCCATATCAGCAAGGGGCGAATTGCTTTTAAATCACCTGTGCAACATTTATCCCTGTGCCCTTGTGAAGACTCTTTCCCGTCATATTGTACAGCAAGAGGCTTAGAGGTGATTTATTGAATGTGAATCAACACCTGTATGTATGATGGGGCTAAATTTATAACTTACATTTGTTTCTTTTATCTTCTGGTCTCGCCCTGTCATAGTTAATCAACACAGGTGGAGTGAGTAATGCATCACAATTGGATGTCATACTTTATTAATGGAAGCAGTAAAAGCCAATTAATTGCTTTTACCACATCTATCATACTTTCCTTAAAAGGCTAACTGCTAAGTGTTTTATAATTCTCGAGTCCCTTTAGTGTGGGGATTAATGAATCTAAGTAATTCACTCTTCCGATGTAAAGCTGGTAGCAACAAACCTGAAGAGAGTTTGGATATATTACTTTGCTGAAGTCAGCTGTGATTAGAGGTTTGAGAAAGAAAGATTGTTCAAGCTTATTTTCATATAAAAAACCAGTGGAATGTTTTCAGAATAAACTGTGATTTTGTTATATAAATGATAACCAGCAGGTGGGCTCGCCTGTATAAAAGCAGAAGCTTTAGCATTTTGTTGGAATGAAGCATTTAGGTGTGTGTTAAGACAATGCCATAATCTTCCCAGGTATGGATGTTCCAACAAATCTACACCAATGTCCATGCAAAGCTCAGAGACACTGCAAAACCCAAGAGCTATATCTCAGACACTACAGGGCTCAGTTAGAATGTTAAAGGTGAAAGTTCATGACAGTATAATTAGAAAAAGATTGAAGAAGTTTGGAAATTTGCACAGGTTGCCAGGAGATGGCCTATTTTTTAAAAGAACATAGCAGCGCGGCTTAGTTTCATCTAAACAAAGCAGAAGACTTCAGGAAAAATGTGTTTTGGACAGATGTGACTAAACTCTCATTTGTCCAAAGGACATTGTTTCAGTGGTCAATTTTCATGAAGATTTTGGACTTGTTTTGCTTACTCAGCCGTCTTGCAGTTGCTGACTTGGCGATAAATTCCTCTGTTTACCAAAGTTGTCCACAGTCAAATGCTAAAAGTGGTTCTACAAGCTACTGAATCATAAGGTGCACTTGATTTTTTACAGGACTGAATAAATTCCTGTGAAAAAATTATTTTACCGATGTCTGCAGCCAGTCTTGACTCTGCATTTTATTAAGATTGATGCTCTCAAGTCATATCATAGCAGTCCAACTCACTTTAAACAAGCTTTGGATATCTGTTGGCAGTAATATGTTTTACCCTGTAAACGCACGCGTTGCCTGCGTTTACAGGCAACGCAACAATATATGTTGTGTTTAAAGCTTTCATTTATAAAATAATACAACTACAGTTTAAAGAATCAGCCACCTAGATGAGTGTAGAAGAAAAATGTAATCTCATTAGATAGTAAATATTGTCTAGATGTATCAGACTCTCTTTTCTGATTCATATAAAATGATAACAACTCATCTGTTTAGATGATTCAATTTAAGTCTCCATATAGACAGCAATATAATTTTCACTCAACAGGACCTTCAAGAGAGATATCGTGTCGATGATTATTTGTCATCGAGTAAAGAAAAATGATTTCAAATAAACTTCAGTCTTTGGAAATATAGTAAAACTGTTATTCAGAGCTAATTCCTTTTAAAATGCTAATTAACAGTTATCCCTCAAAGCTATCCTCAGACTCACAAACAGGAGGATAATAAATACATTTTCATTGGATTTTTGCTTAGCTCCTGCTTTTTCTTGTTTTCACTGATGCAAAAGTTATCAATAAGCTTGGTTGGTGCAATATAACCTGGAGATGTTCAGCGTGATGAATAAAACATCAATAAAAAAAATCCCTCCTGAACAGTGTCTCTGTAGCTGCTGGTGATTTTTAGAAAAAGAAAATCAAGGATACTGCAAAGTAACGGACGCATGCTGACATAGGGCCTTGAATATAGTCCGGGACTTTGGTTGACTTTTTTATTTTTGCCTATACTTAAGTGAGAAGATAGATAGTACTGTGTATTTTACCTTGAACTTAAAGGAATTTTATCTAGTAAACAGTTAGATGGTGGATAAATTAATCAGTTGAGAAAAATTGATTTTGGAAAAGTGTTGATAATTGCCATTTCAATATAAAAATAATAATAATAATAAGTACACAAATCAGATAAATTGGAAGTTATAGTTATAGTATAGTTGAACTAATGTGCAAAATCATAGGCTGCATATAAAAGATAGAATGTGGCCACCATGATGAAGTGGAATAGCCTGACATTAACATAGCACTTGTTTAGTTTTACAGGCAACGCAAAGCACTTTAGACTGCATGTCACATATTATCTCTTGAGGTCAAAACCTTATGCCAGGCTGTTAACATGCATTTATCTTTAATGCTCTCCAGTTTTAAAATCTGAGTCTGCAGGAACTTTTTTGCAACCTCAAGTGGCAATTAGATGAACTGTTTTTGCCATTTATGCAACGGCTCCATCTGTGAGGTTACTGCTTGGAGAAAACAAGCAATTTAATGGTGTCACTCTGAACATAACAGAACTTGTCACTTTTTTCCGTGCATATAATTGATTGCATTTGCACATAATCCGAATAATCAATGCTGCATGTTAGCTGCAACCTGACCATGTTTTTTTTTCTCTTTTTCAGACATTTCGATGGCCCATTGCCAGCAAGCTGGATGGAAATGAAATGCTAGAGATCCAAGTGTACAATTACAGCAAGGTCTTCTCCAACAGGTATGGTGCAGTTTACTAATTCAAGCCCCCCAGACAGCGCTTCAGAGTAAATTGTCTATGTTTGCCTTCCTGCCTTTCTGTTGCAACCTGTGACCACCCCAGACTGACACATGATGCATGTAGCTAACCTAATGAAGGAAACGCTTAAATTCCCCTAGGGGTTTGCTCTAAATTGACTCACCTGTATGCAACAGACTGCAAACAGCAGCCAGGGCTGAGTAAGCATCACGCCAGAAAGTGGGCAGAGGTAATGAAACAGTATTAAAGTCTTGGTAACAGGCATATTTATCATTTCACACACTCCAAACAGTCAGATCATTTAAAAAAAAAAAACATCCGGTCCTGTAGCTGATGATACAACTGAAAGTTGAGTATCATTGCTTTTACAATATCCGTAGGTTTAAAGACAAGTCAGACAAATGTTTCATTTTTTTTTAATTGTGTCATAGCTAATATGTTTTTACTGACACTTCCCAACCTCACGAGGTGTAATCATGTGAGAACCAACTAAAAATATTACTGTGAGGTTCATCTGACCTGAATCATGGGTGCAGCATGACACTAATAACTTATAATGCTTTGTCTACAAAGAAGAGCCTTATTTTTCTGTCACCATTTCTCGCATGTCTGAAAGAACACATTCCTATTTCATCAATCCAGCCGTCCAACTAGGCCATGTAACTGCTCTTGTACTCCTTGCACATTAGTATTTCTTACATTTCAGATATGTATTCGACCTCTTGATGCTCATACCTGTGTGATGCCTTTTGAGAGCTGCCAAAATGCATGTCACCCGAATACATCCTGTATGAACAGAAATGGAGCAGAATGTACTACTGCTCTCCTAATGTGTTGTTTCTATTACGCTTCCCACATAGACAAGGTGTAGAAATCATTTGTGCAAGGCTGTTTGTGTAAATTGGCTAGTTAAGTAATTTCTCTCTTCTCCTCACTTCTTCAATTTCTTGTTAATTTTTCCTTTATTTTGGTTCATTTAGATGGCGCTGTGCACTTTTTGTGTCCTGCTTGAAAAACTGATGGACTGGTTGTACCAGGAAGCCAGTCCACCTACTGTGTCCATAACAAATCCAGTCAAATTATACCAGCTGCCCAACTTCTCACAATGGACTGATTGATGTGTCTAATATGGTTCAGACTAGAGAAAACATTGCACCACCCACCCAGTTAATAAAGCACAGTAATGTTAACTTCCTTCTGTGTGTGCCCATAAGCATCAATACATGTGTGTAGCACCAGCTCAGTAGTTAGTCTATGTAACCAAATCATGTCTGCAGTGTGCAAATTTAGCTGCATGTAAATGTGTGTAATAAAGAGCTAAATGCTGGTGACAGGTGTGCAGACACATGCTAGATCAAGTCTACATCAAGGCAGATTTGAACTGTCAGCAAGATTTCTTTATGCCATTGTGTGGAAGACTGAAATTGAAACAAAGACAAACACATTTTTACAGGCATGCATGACAATTAGGGGTCAGTGACAATTAGGGGTCAGTGAGTTTAGGAGGGTTTGGGCAGGGGTGGACGGTTAATTTTCCCAAATGGCAACATGAGAATCTGAAACGTTTGTGGAGGGCCGCACCAAAAAGCTGATATCAGTTCACCTCAGTATTAAATCCACAACAGTCCCAGTTTGTTTCTGTATGCGGCCCCTTGGGAACTTTATTTGCCTAATCCTGCTTTAGTGTGGCTGTCCTACAATTAGCAAGTCACTACAGCTTAAGAATGCAGTCACCTTGGCTTCTCAGTCACCTTTAACGCTAGTTGTACGAAAAGACACCATAGGGAAGCAGCTGATATTTTTTAATCTTTCTGGTCATTTTTCTGTCAAAAATTTGCCTTACCAATTCAGAGTGAAAAACTGATATACATAACGTGCTAATCAAGCTAGCTACTTACGCAAAGCCACCTATTCAAAATGGTCTGTAGTTATATGCTCCCTAGCAAAGATGTAAAATCTAACAGATTAAAAATTTACAGGAAAAACAGTATTAGGCTGGGCAGTAACACCAGTGTGAGTAGAACAATGTCTACATTAGCATTTTGCTAAAAGCAACACTGCACCAAAGTAGCAAAGTTTTGCAGACACATGACTGCTGACCATGGGATATAACTTCTCCACCATTCTGGATGTGTGACAATCACTATTGTGAATGTGGAGTGAATAAGGCCCTAGTCAGCAGGATTAAAGTATGATTTATTGGGTTGGGGAGCTGTAAGAGCTGTAAGAGCTGTAAGCTGTAAGAGTGGCAGTGCAGTGTGGGGAAAAATTACTTAGAAATAAGTTTGATGATAATTTGTTTGTGAACTCTAGTAGATTTTCTCTCTTTAGAGAATAGCTGACCTGTGATGCTACTTTTGCTACTTTTTGATTTAGCCAACTAAGTTAAACACTGCAAAGCTATCAGTGTAGCCTATACTAAACTGATATTTTCATGCAACCTTTGAAAAACACAAAATGAGCATAGTTTAATTTGTTTTGCAAAATGCTTCACAAAAATATAATTTAGCAACACGTTATGTAAAGGTCTAATAACTTATTCAAAATTCATGACAACTTTAAATGTAAGATTTAAACTTCCAGTTTATAAAGTGTCACTTGCTGAGAAGTTCTTAGCTTTGAAAAAAAAAAAAAAACACATACTGCTTCATCTATCAGTGTCACACATTAACATTTTTTCCTTCTCCTAAGGAAATTCAACAACTGTACATTTAGCTCATGGATACATTTAATAATAAACTACACAGAAACATTTTGTGTGTTTCCTGATGCTTGTTGGACTGTTTAAAATGTTTCATTTAAAATTATCTTGCAATTAAAAAAACACTACTCAATTTATGCTCACTCCTCATAGCTAAATGCTGAAGTATAGCATACATAACTTTAGGTCAGCACCATAAATGCATCACAGGCAAGAAAGGGATGCGTTGAAGGTGTAAGCAGGCTGTGGGATGCCATTATGTTTGTATTAATGAGCAACTATCTCCATGTCATCACTGGAAGAATGCCAGGTTGCAGTGCATGAAAAATTCGAATACTCCCCAGCTACTCATCAAGCCAAGAAAAAAGAAAAGCGTGCCAAAAAAACATAAACTGTGACAGTTTGCCTTCAAAGTAAAGGAAATCTCTCAATTGCAGTGGTAAGGTATGGTTTTTTACACTGAAAGTGAACATTTCCTGGTTCTGGTTTGCATTGCAATTTTACAGTTTTACTACCACCTGGCAAGTAGTTAGCAAATGTTTGCCAACTACAGGCAACCTGTTAGGAATCTAAGCAATTAACAAGGCACGACTGTATATTGACTACATATTATATATTGAATATATAATGTATTGGCTGTGTATATAGAGAGTCTTGTTTACAAAAAAGAAATATAACAAATTCGTATAGGTGCAAGCATGCCATTGCTCTGACACAGCAAGATTCTCATTCTTAACACTGCATATAGAGTTATAATTTTTTCAGATGTTTTTTCCAACTATGGAAAGCTTTTTCATAACTTCAGATGGATATTAATTCTGCATCATTGATCCTTAAGCAATGAAGGCAATTTTTACAGTTGTACACAAAGCAACTGCTAGATCCATTTTAAAAAACATACATTAAATTCAATTTAAAAGCAGAATTGATGTGAGCCAGAGTTTCTCTTGGGTGGGAAAAAAACGCTGTTCTATTTTAATGAAACTTTTTCATCGACTTACTTTTTCATAACAGCTCAAGCACATTTGGAGATGGTTGAGTCCAAGCAAAATGTATACTTTGCCATAAGTAGGCAGTTCTTAAATGTAAAAACTGAGTACATAAGCATAACCGGACACACATTTAAACAGGTAAATAATTCAGTGTGAGTCACAGCTTTTGTGGTTCTTGCACCTGTTCCACATGTCCACAGGCTACTTAATTACCAGGGTATTTGATCTACTTCATCACTGTTTGTACCAACACACTTTAGGGCCAGTGTGATACACCCTGCCACCACAAATGTGATCACATTACAAAAACACAAAGAAAGGGCAGTGATGTGTAGTGGCCTCTTTGCTGTAGTGACATATAGACCGTGTTTTATTTGTTTTCTCATGTGGCTGAGAGATTTGCTTTCATATTCGGCCCATCATGGGGTATACTGTGTGGGAGTTATTGAGCACTGAACAGTGACAGGTTATATGATAGCATATTCAGTGTTCTAAACCTGAGGTCGGTGGTGTCTCAGCGCGTAGATTGTAAGACTGAGATAGAAGCCACAGGCAGGATGCCTGAGGCAGACTTAACAGTAAGCAAGCGAGAACTCAATATCAGCAATAAACAGAATTCTAAAAGGTCCAGATGCACGAGGAATAACTTAAGCGACCAAGCTCAGGAACATAACAGACACCTAAACAAAGGAAAAGGGACTATGTATACGGACATAGGGGAGGACAAACAAGGAGGAAACAAAGCCAAAAGCAAGACAAAAAAAGTAATTTTTTAGGTGCTTTCAATTGATCCTTCCTGTCCAGCAACATATATAATAATGTGTATGTGTTAGTCCCCATAGGGAAATTACTCTTCTGCATTTAACCCATTCACCCAGTGAAGCAGTGGGCAGCCACCAGTGCAGCGCCCGGGGAGCAGTGTGTAGGGACGGTACCTTGCTCAAGGGTACCTCAGGGTATGTAAAATAGTATTCACTGATCAATTGAGAGTGGTTGCAAGAAGTTACTGGCAGCTGCTGTGAAATGGAATGCTAAAGCTGAAAAATGGAAACAGAAGCAATTCACCTTCAAAGTAAAACTTGTGCATTTTGAAAGGCGTCTACTTCAGCATTAAGGGACAACTTTTATTTTGAAGACAAACATTCTCCATTTGCAGTTTGCATCACACATTGTTGAGTTTGCTCCTTGGTAGTTAGCTAGCAATTAAATGTAGACTAGCTACTGTTTTTCACACAATTGTATCAATCTGCCAGCTACCAAAAAAATCAGATGGAGGAATTTTGTGCAACACTTTCCTTGTGACCAGTTTCACTCAGTGATAGCCAGTTATCTCCAGCAACCACTCTTAAACCAGTTGGCTAATATACAATTTCCCTAGTGGCCAACTGTACCGAGGGGTTGCTGATCAGCCTGTGTGACTGAGGAGTCTTCTGCTAAACAGATAAACCTGGTTTCATTTTTGCTTTTGTTTCAGTGCAAAATGAGAATTGTGTCAATAATAGGCAGATTTTGTCTATGCTCCGCACCCCCACACGCGTCTTTACAAACCTTATGTTCTCTCTTTCTTCCACTTCGCCTCTCTATCCTTTGGCATAGTTTGAAATAAAGCAGTCAAAACAAACACATTTACATATAATTCTTTGTTTTGTCCTGCAATGGAATGTGTCTGTTACAAAGCTGTAAGAGTGCTTTATGTATATGCATCACAGCAGTAAAAGGAGCTAAACCGCAGGACCACACTCAGATTGCCATGGCATGCTGATGGGCAATAAAGCAAGACATAATAGCTTTTTCTATCATTTGCGGTTAAAAATTATATTAAGCTCATCTGCGTGTGTGAAAAGGAGACAGGGTGTATTGATTGCATCCCCATGAATCAATAGATCATCTTTGAGCAATTCAGTGATGCATTCAGTGAATCTGCTCATATTTGTATTAGTGGCAGCAGAGTGCTTGGCAGAGACTTTCTGGCAGATCACGGGGGCCAAATCACACACTCCTGTCAGCTGTAACATTTCCATTTCACACTATCCTCCAGCTGCACTACCTGCCGCTGCAGTGGATTAGAGCATCTTTGCGAACCCTCTGTCTGCCTTGGAAAAAATATTTTACATTTCAAAGCTGAGCTCACCTCTTCACAAATACACCTGAGCCAGACATTTTGCCATAGTCACACCTTAAATTGAGAAAGAGAAGAAGATTTAATGCAAATTGAAAGGGAAGGGAGCTGAATCATGAAGCAGATGAAAGTAAATTGTTTGCAGGACTTCAATCAATAATGAATGCCGCCTTTGAAGTGCTAAAATAAAGCGAGCCAGAACATGATAGGCCTTGCTCAGTTCAATTATTCAGCACTTGCAACACGTGCTACAAGGGTTGAAAGGAAATGACAGACCATTTAAGTAGCACTGGATATATTGATCACCCCTGTCTGGTAAAGGAAACAGTGCAGTGGGTTATTAGTAATATTGCTCAGAGTCTCAGAAGTTTCTATTCATCTTCAAAAGAAAAAAAGTTTTCTGCACAAAGCCATCTATATCCACCCAGACGTTTTTCTTTAGTCATGTCAGGCCTGTAGAGTTGTTCATGGAGTTATGCATTGGGGAGCCTGGCAGATACTCACTTTCACAAAGGCAGAACCTGCCAGCGCCTCAGGGGAAGCACATACTGTTTTTAGTTTTTTTTAAACCTGCAATTCAAAGAGAAGTCAAGTTCTGGAAGTCTAAATTTACCTCATTATTAAGTTTCGAAGCTCTGCTGACAAATGTAGCCTCACTTTCTACTGAAGTTTGAATTCATCACCACTGACTCCAGAGGAAAGACAAAGTGAAAACAGAAGGTATAGAAAGAGCGAGAGATTAATCTAAGGAAAGGGGGAAAAAAATAATAGCAGACAGATTGCTGCTTTTGTTGCAGCTCATTCATTTATTGAGATAGTATTCGGGGGAAGGGGGAGGGGTATGTTGAATTGGAGGTGTCCTTGAGTACATGTGTGTGTTTGTGCGTACTGCAGTCCTTCACTCTATTCTGACTTGTCAGGTTCAGTAGTCCTGTTGGGAAGATCACATTGTTGGCTGCGATCCCTACAGATTTCCTCTGTGTGTGCATGTGTATTTGCAAGTGTGTGCATGGCAGCTGGTTAACTATTGTTTCCACGCTTTCGTTTTATGATATTGTATCTCCCTACGGGCTCATATCCAGGCTGCTGTTTGTGTGTATGCCTTTCCTTCCTTTTGATGCTCTCTTTGAATATTTATCACCCTGTATGTCACATATGCAGTAGAAATATAAGATGCAGCTTTATTTTCGGTCCGTGAGTTATCCGAGGTACGTGTTTGTGTAGCTGTAAACATTGTTTGTCACCACTGTATATGGCAGAAATGCCATATGGTTGGGCTCAATGTGGACTTCAGCACACGTTCTTCATGTGTGGCTGACTGCTCTGCAAACAACACACTTTTATGAGGGAAACTTTTTAAATTATTCAGCAGCTCTAATTGACCACCTGAATGGGCACTGTACTGAGTTTCTACCCACTGTAACATTTTATGAGGTGTCCTTGGGCAGTGGAGAAATCCATCTTATGATCTAAAGTTTGCAATAGGGAGGTACCATTATGTTGGTAATTCTTCAGGGGGTTCTGGATGGAGGCAGCGCATTATATTAAAAAATGTTTTGTGTATGTTTCCTAAACGTTCCATAACATAAAATGAAATTCTCTCCTGAAAGCATTATGTTGATGGATCATCAGTCTGTCTGTCAATCCCATTTTTATGAACACAGTATCTCAGGAAAGCCTCGAGGTAGTTTCTCCACAGTTTGCACAAATATGAATATTTAAGCTTCAAAGCACAAGTTACTACACCAATGTCTGACGTGATAGAATATAAAATGACATTTTAAGCCCAAAATACCAACGGTAGACTTCACCGTGATGTCACACTTTCATGGACATTATTAAATGCCATAACTTAGGAACAGAAGAGGAAATGTGACCATATTTCACATTTTGTTTTTTCACTTTGTTGCCTATTCTGAAAATGTGCTGACTGTAAATCTGATTTGTGGCTAGGTTGAAGATGCATGTGCAGCCTCCACTTTTTTTTGTAGTGCCTTTATAGTAAAAATCCACATTTAATGCAATCATGGCTACAGCAATATCTTTTAGCTGTACCTTGTTTGGACATAATTTATAGGTAGAATAAATAGTAGATGGATAGATGTTTAATTTACAGAGTAGTTTTGACCAGTGTGGAACATTTTTGTGTTAACTGTTTGATATTAAGCATGAAAAATGTCTAAGTATTTTAAAATAGGCAGTAAAACTTAATTCCTATTGCTTATCTGCTAGGAAAATTAGTTATCACAGCAGAAGCAAAAATCATTTCACAAGATGCACTTCCAAACTAACCGGGGGATTGGGGCACTAATTACTTCGTTTGAGATGCAGCATATGGCAGAGTGAGCTGGTGACAAAGGTAGTGAAGTACTTTTTCACTGTCTGTCACCGCAAATGTCCAACAGAAGTAGAAAGATTGCCAAAGTGATATGGATCAAATTAGACACCTGCAGTGGCCAAAACAGCTCAGTTCACTGCTTCTTACATCCAAAAAAAGAGGAGATGTTGTGTAAAATTAAATGAAACCGCTACGGGATTTGTTAATTATTAAAATCCCATGTATTTAATGAAATATGGAACAAGATGACAAATCAAATTTTAAACTGCGAAATGTTTTTTTAATAACAAAGACAGAGACATGTTAACATATTATAAATATATATGTAGGGTTTTTTTTTCCATTCAGCAATTCACAGCTTCTTTTGTATATTTTTGTTTTCATAATGTGAGTTCACTGCTCTACACTCCTGGTGAGGTAGTTTAGCACACTTTTATAAGAAAGAAATTATGTTGTACACAATAAATTTGGCTTGGTCATTGTATTGCTTAAACAAGCAAAGCCTTAAAAAGGGGGGGGGGGGTGCAAACTTTAAAGGTTTAAACTAGGACATGTATGTTTGCATGCGTTTTTTATTCCCAAATGCAGTGATGCGAGCGCTCTATTGCAGCATGTAAAACAAAGATAAACAGATGGGCAGCAGAGGAGGAACAAAAGACAAGTGACACAATGCCATTATTGATTCTATTGATTTCTGTTTACAATGCATGGCTCTTTGTTGCTCTTTTCCTACAGACTCATTGGGACTTTCTGTATGGTGCTTCAGAAAGTGGCTGAAGAGGGACATCTAGAGCTGACTGACACACTCACTGATGATAACAACACGTCAATAAAGGTAAACTCTCACATTAGAACAATCTACAGACACAAATCAATGTGAGCCAATCAAAATATTTAGACAGCATTTTCATGTGACTGCACCATCTAATTTGAAACCTTTAATGTTGGGCCTTCTGTAGCTTTATTTCAGTTTATGTTGGGATTCATTCATAAACCCATATTTTATCGACAAGACAACACAGATAACATATCAAATGTTTAAACTGAGAAAATAACAGAAAAAAATCAAAGCTGTTTTGAAGTGATCGGCAGCAAAACATTGAGTAACAGGGCAACAAAAGGAAAAGTAAGTTCAGCTCGAGGAACATTTTGCAGCTAATTAGACAACAGGTCAGTGGCATGTTTAAGTATAAGAAAAGCATCTTGGAGAGTATTTCAGAAGTAAAGATGAACAGAGGTCCATCAATCACCAGGAAACATTAAAATCTGGTTATTTTTTCTTAATTTGGATTGAAAAAAATTGTGGATAGAAGTCGGCTTGCTCTCTAATGAACCTACTAAACCAGTGACATCTTTTTCAGTGGTAACAAGGAACAGTTTTGAGGAAATAAAAAAAGGGCTTGGATAAACGTACAACGTGTTACCCAACAAGCAACAAATGGCAAAATTAGCAATTTGTTGCTGAAAGTATAGCATTTTGCCATAAAATAGGTAAATATTATTCCCACAAAGATGTTATAGATGTCTTTGCTTTATGAACTAATCACATGTCACTGTTGAGTTTACATATTGTTTAGATTTTTCCTAGTCACCAGAAAGTATCACAGGCAGTAGCTAACTAGGATAGGCTCCATGTTTAGCCTCACTGAAAAGATCAGCAACATTTGCTGCGAACTTTCAAATATCTTTATTTTAAATTCAAGCAGAGACTCCAAAGTGCCCAAAATGTGTCAAAATGAGCCTAATCTAAAATAGATTTTATTGAATATCACAGTCATGAAAACATGCCTTTACTCCATGGTTACATTACCTTTAGTTAGGTAGCTGAAAGAACCTGATGAACACAGCAGAGGTTAAAACTGAGCCTGAATCAAACTTCTAGTTTTGTAAATTATACAACTTACCATACAGCATTAGAATTGAAAGGGATTGTATTAGCTTCCAAAATGCATTCACAAGCAAATAGGGGACCATTAAATGGAGAAATCACTCTTGAATTCCACCTGCACTGCTGACAATAAGCAATGTAACAGTCATCACTTGGCCTATAAAGGCACAAGCATTAAGGACCCTCACATCAATGAGGATCTGATGGAAATACAAGTGTGTCGCAGCAACATCAGCACATTTGCATTTAACATGAATCCAGATATTTACTATTGATTGGAAATTTTATTTAAAACCGCTCAACCGAGAGCAGTTCAGTGGTGAGGTTGAGAGTGAGGCTGATTTAGCAGCGAATGCATAATGTAAGAGTGAATATGTATATGGAAATGAGGGCAGCACAATTGAGTGTGTGAGAGAGAAGCCAACCATATGAGCTTTCAAACCACCCCAGTGTGCAGAATGGTGTTCCTGGAACCGGGAGCACTGATGTGATGCTTCTGAGATGATGACACGCAGCATGGGAGAGCTTCAGGGTTTACACACATTGCAAACATTGACGCACATATCCACAGACATATGTGCAAGTCGCTTCCCATGAAAACAGGAGAATTGTATCACTGTGCGTCCCTGTAGCAAAAAACTGGTAAAACTAAGCCAGACATAACCTGAGAGCCACACTTTTACTTACAACCCTGCACTGGTGTGGTTGCCATAGAAACAAATCGAACTCCTCGCGGACCACAGCTATCGCCTTGTGAGGATATAAGGAAGAGCTGGCGACACGGAGAGAAATGGAGGAGAAAGGAGCCGAGAGCCCCATGTACATTTTTTTCCTCATCCATCTTTGTCAGTGGAATAAATTGGCTGCTCTGTAAAAAAGATCAGGTCGTTGTCAGGAGGCTAAAACTTGTCCAAGCAAGACTCCCAAGAAGGCACTAAAGACACACTAAAGTGTCACCCATGTTTCTGACCTGGATTAAACAAGCAGTTAGTGTCAGTCTGACTTCCCCCAACAAATACCAAGCAGAAGACATCATTTATTGTCCTGTCAAGTTTGTTTCTACTATCAAGAGCTTTTTCTACACAATTAAACTGATATAGACATGCCAAGACTATGTATTACTGTGTTGTCTATTGTTTTGTTGTTGTTGTTGTTTATTTCAGTGAACTACAAGCTCAGTTTGACTTGTGTGTTGGTTGTAACATATAAAGACTCACTCATGGCTCAGTGGTTGGTGCAGCCTGTCAGTCAAAGCTGCCTCACAACTAATAATGACATATATAAATGAGAGTGTTAAATTTGCTAATGGGTCCAAAATCTGTTTGTTTGTTTTTTTTAAAGACGGTTTCTGCTTCAGAGTTGTGGATTTAAATACAGGAGTTGAAAGGGACTCACTCCGTTTATTGACATTCTCAAGTTGGCATAAATGCAGTCTTCTGACACTTTAGCACACATCTTAAGCTAACATGTTGGTCTTGGAAAACTGTACAATCCCATCTTAAGTTTTTTAATTCATGTGGTAGTTGACGCTGTAGGCATTCTTCTTGTGTCGAAGAATATGTTAGATTAAAATAACTTTACAGCATCTGCAGGTAACTTGCTGTTTCTCAAGCTTTAACAGCATACAGTGATATGATATTGATGGCTGTGTGAGTATGTTCTAATGTCTGGATACACTGCCATTCTAGCAAATAAAAATTATATATGTAGCAAGGGCAAAATGTCTTTTGACTGTTTCTCAGTTAGAGGTATCACAAGTGATTATATCTGATTTTGACAAAGGGATAATTAAGTCCCTACAACAGCTGAGAGAAGACTGAGATTTCCTTAGCAAATGAAGTCTCATATCAGAGGAAACAAAGACGCATTTAAAAGATGCTATAAAAATGTCAATCTGTGGATAACAGTAGAGTTTATAGTAGAAGTATAAGTTTCTGGAGAGGACACTGTTAAAAGATGTTTTAAACTTTGTTTTGGGGAAAAGTTTAAAAAAAGTGTTTTTCAGACCTAACTTCTAACCATTAAAACTGAAGAGAGATTTTAGATATTAGATAATGCTTCAAATTAAATAACCAGATTAAGTACTTGAAGTCATTTAAAGATAAGCTGTACGTCTTTGCTTCTGAAAGATTTACTATGATTTTATCCAAATACTTTGAAGCTTCGTAACGCCGTTTCAAGTAAGCTCATTTTCATTCATTCACTATTTCATTTCCAGACCAATGTTACCATAGAGATCAGGTACCAGCCGATGGATGGCATGGTTGGAGTGTGGAGTGACGGGGACTTCTTGGAAGTTCCTGACGACCGTGATGGGACGTTTTCCTTTGAAACAGATAGCTTGCTGTCAGGACAAAGCCATGGGTCAGGGACGTCCCCTGGACGATCTTTACATGGATCCATACCAACCTTCAGAAAGTAAGTCAAACATAAAACCATCTCTACATTAGAACATAGCACATTACAAATCAACTACTCTTAATTCGCCTTTCAAGATTAATGTGTTGGCTTCCCAAACAAGATATATTGTTTTAATTACATGATTCACTTTTTAAGAAGTCAGTTCCAGTAACAGCACTACTGACTCACATGTGGGTGAGAATTACTGACTAGTTCATGCAACATCTGTTATGATTACAGAGAGAAATAAACAGGAAGTCTGTTTTTTAATAAAGACTTTATTGTTCCACAAACGAGCTGTTATAAGTGATCAGTTGATCATCAGTCTATGGTGTAGACTTGACTATTGTTATTGTTTTTGCAAAGTTTCAATGAAATAAGCAAAGTATTCAAGGCAGAACTAGCAGCTTAACCCCTCGGGACAGTTACATAACTGTAAAGCCAAAAGGAACAACCTTTGGTCCCGTGTAGAAAAGACATAAATTTACTCAATTTAATACCAGAGCAGTGAAGAACAACAGTTGCTGGATTCTTTAGATTCTCAGTAGTACTAGGCAGCTCTTTTTAACATAAATGACCTAATTGCTGTCCAGAGACTCCAGACTGAAAGATGTTAGAAGTTGTTTTGCATATTTGGCACAGAGTAACGCTTTGTAGCTCTATAAGAAGTTTGCAGTGTCTGATAAACGGTAATGCGGTAAAAATGCAGTAGGTTATGAGCGAGAAGCCAACATGGAAGCTAGAAGTATCTTTTATTGAGTGTTTTAGTTGAATTGTTATAGTTCCTCCTACATAACTGCAATATCTCTTGTTAAATTACCATCTTCTACTGGTGTTATATGTCATGCCCCATTTCCTGTCTTCCTCTTCACTGTCTGATAACAGACAAAAGTAATCTTAAAACACCAGACAAGAAGTGTTTAATTTCATTGATTACACAAGAGTAGAGTGCAGCGTCCACTATATGGGAAAATGTATGAGTATCATGAAGTTGAATCTCCACATATTGCTGTTGTATAATAGTAATAGTTATGGTGGGTCACAGGATCCATGTGTATACAAACGTTTCCATTTTTTTTATCCATGCTGGCATCTTTTTCCTGAAAACCGTTTGCTTACCTGACACACACACAAACACACACACACTGAAAATGTATGTATGCCTGTTTTAAGAAAAAATATAAAGATCCTCATCTACTGTATAAGCAGAATCAATAATGTCATTCCTAACAATATAATCAATTCCTATAGACAAGTAAACGCAAGCCATACAACATCAGATATATTTAGCATAGAAAGCTCTAAGAGCATGTTCTGCCAAGGCTTTTTCTCTTTTGTCATCCTCTTCCTCTGCAGTTCTACTGTTGCGTTTTCGCTGAATAGCATGTGAAATAATCTGTGGGTTGTATTGATTTCCACTGAAACTATCAACACAGCCAAACCCCTAAACCCATCTTTGTGCTGTGTATTGAATGGGCATGTATAAAAAGTTTGTGTGTAGCTTGCTGTTGTGCTCAAGTATTTGTCTGTTAATACTGAACACCTACGTTTACATTGTGTTACAGTATCAAATTCCTTGGAAACAGGGTTTCCAGCCTGAGGACAATGAGAAGAGTTAGATAGAAGTTATAGAGCATCCCATGAGTGTTACATAAGAAAGGAAGACTTTGGATATTGCTCAGAAAACAGAAATGAAAATACTGCTGTAGAAAAATAGTGTAAAAGAATTTAGTAGAAGCGGGAAGAAATTTATGATCAAATTGTTTTTTTGCTACACACGCTTCAGGTGAACCGGCCTTCTTGTTTCGTTGCTGAGGTTGCTACAAGCTGTCAGTCAGACCTTGTAACGAGGTGTCGAAAGGCATTTTGTCTTGGGGGGAGAAAAGGTGAATGAGTTCCTGAGAAAGCCCAGACAAAAAGTTCAGCTCTAAACTGCTGCAAAATAGTGTGGCAGGATTGTAGGAGGATTTTTAATAGCCTTGCCACTTCTCATCCAATCCTATTAGTTCCTGAGTTACCGGCTGCTAAGTTTCTCTATGGTTGAGATGTTTTCAGAATTAAAATTCCCAAAGATATTTCACTGTGTCTTGAATTCTGGTGCTCCAAAGCCGCTGTTAATTGTCCTTACTGTGGTAATGACGTGTGGATGTGCAGGAGATGATAACCTGGAATGAGCCTCTCATTCCTGGAGAGTGGAGGGGGATTAGGAGGAGGAGATGGAGAATGTCATTAGCAGTTAAGCTTTAACAATGATCCTCGATTTTTATTTTTATTTTTTTAAGTTTTTAAGTTTACAGCTCTATGTTTGTCATTTTTAATCAGGGGTTGCAACTCCTGTTGAGGACTAGCGTGGACCAGGTCATGGTGGAGAGTGGACCATAGTAACTTTAACCCATTTTAGGGCAAATATTTCACATCTCACACCTCAGTAATTGTTAGTTGTCCTTCCCAGGTATTAATTATTAGCATTTCCGAACTTAAAAGGATTTTTATTAGCTGCTGCTAGATTGAGACTTTAAATGCAGCACATTCTAATGTGAGTTACATTTAAAAAGCAGGAATTCAATTTCCTGTTCTGAGCTTAATTGTGGAAGAACAAACATGATCCTGCACAGCGCTCAACCCACTGGTGCCTATTTCTGTTATATCAGCTGTAGCCTAAAGGTCATGTGTGCCTCGTACACAGGGGTTGGTGTTCAGTGGGGATGGAATTTCATCTTTACATCTTTCCAGCACTTCTGTAAATGACGAATTGGATAGTGAAGGTATATGACTTCCTCTTCGTCCCCTTAAGTTGGTACAGTACTGCTGCCACCTCTTCCTATCTCTCTGCAAAGTCTCTGGGCCTGCAGGGTGATTTATGGCAGCACCCATAAAGCACTGCATGCTATCTGCAACACAACAATAAGCCAGCTTTTTAGGGGTTTTGTTATTTCTAAAAGTAAATCAAGTTCTCTGAGTTTCATTTAAGCAAATGTGTTGTTTAGAGCACGAGTAAGGAGCAGAGCAGATTTTAGGATAGATTTGATTCTCCAGCTGTCTCCACAATACACATGAGGTTTACTTTGTTATCTGTAACTTGACCAAACACCTTGTGATTAGTAAAAAATTACAAATTGCATGCTGGTTGGCTTGATCAGTGGAGTAACTTTATTTAAAGATTGTGAATAACTTTTTTTCCCCTCTGCTTTGTTTTGACTTGTTTTATACTTTTTCTTCGGGCGCCAGAAACTACGTTGTGGTATTTAGATAAATATATGTACTACATGTTGTTTAGTTAAGGTAAGGAAAAGATTGTGATTTTGGTTAAAATGTGCCTTATAAGTCTGCATATTAAAAAAGTAAAACTGACCCAGTGCATGTGAGAGTAGGAATCCTTGAAATGCATCCATGTGAAAGTTATGGAATAAGTGACCAGTGTCACTGCTGCCTCAACGCAGTGCATGAGGCACAGATCACAAAAAATACCATGAGAAAATAAACTAAAATAAAATGAGATCTACAGACATCAAAACCTGGAAATAAAAGACCAGAACCCTAGTGCATAGGGCTAACAGAGTGTTTTCTTCCTGTTGAAATTCATAGATTTATTGGTATTGCCCCACAGAAGCAAATAGCTGTAAATTTTCATTGTGTTTATCCAGGTAGTTTGAATATGCATGCACCATTTGCACAACATCACCCTCCTGTCTTCATTCCCACTGCAGCAAAAGGTAATTTGTTCAAGCAAGCGTTAATTTACTTGTGTTTTATTATTATTATCTGGTCTACTTGGTTTATTTTCACCAGTGTAAATTGCAGCATCCTTAAAGACAGCCGTGTTGTCACACAGCTGTGATCTATCCTCATACTGTGTGCCAGTGTTGTGTGATCTCCTATCTCACTGTGTCTTTAGGTCTGCTCACAACATCACTGACTCCCTGAGGAAACATTCATTAGAGCAGACATGTCTGCTAATACAAAAATCTGGTCTTCAGTATGGATATAATCATCGTATTCTGCCTTCTTTATTTGTGTAGGAACCTAAAAGGAGTGCTTGCATTGGTCCTGTTGATTGATCAGGCTTTTTCTAAGTCGTGATTAGATGTATAACTAACTGCCATCCCCCTAATTCTCACCTGATTGTAGTTACACTAGTACAGCATATCCAACTGCACTTTCCGCTCTTGTGTTGCACAATAATCGATGAATGCTCTATTAATAACAAGGTGAATTATTAAGTCTACTTATAGGTCTTAATCTTTATCAATTTCAGGATCAGTTTTACTTACATAACCTTCCTGTTGTACCCTGGTCAATTATAAAAAAAATTTAAAAGCTATGAAACAAAGAGCATGATTTAATAAGAGCACAAAATAAATTTAGGCAACACCTACAAATAGATGAAGTTATTTTCTCTGTGGCTGTGCTCCATCACAACACAAATGGCTGGCATCAGTCAGGACATCCCTGGAGAACTGAGGCACTTAGCTAATCTAACTGCATGCAACACTGTCAGGGCTATTTACTTCTTTTATTGTTTCAGTTAGGCACACACGGACACAGAGAGTGCCCTTTTTGTTTTCAGTCATTTGAAGCGACTACCTCTATTAATGAAATGGAAATTTAAATGGGAAAGTGAATGAACAAGGGAATTATTACAAGGGGGAAAACAACGCTTCATGATTTAGCACTTTTTTTTAAGTACATTTATAATATCAGTCTTTGACCAAGTAACAAGGCAGACCGAGGGAAATCCCTGTGGTTGTTTTTGTAAAAGCATTTCCCCAACAAGTGCAATTTCACAATCTTGCTTTAAACACAATGTTTCATACAGCATCAAACAAGATTTGAGCTCCAAGAGAATTTCAAATGATGACAGCATAAAAGGAATAAAAATGCTATTGATATATTGTTGCCCGCGGCCTCTAAGCATGCTGCAGTGTCTTTAATCTTAGTGTTATTGATACCAGATTGTTTTTAAAACTGACAAACTAGTTTGGGTCTTTTTGGCCTCCTTCTTTAGTAAAGTCCCTGGG